TGTTTAATGTAAAATTGTATATACATTGAGAGCGTTTATGATTAACATTTATTCCCTTATTTCAAAAAAAAAAAAAAAAAAAAAAAAAAAAAAAAAAAAAAAAAAAAACGAAAGAAATTTAAGTGTATCTTTTCAAGTAAATCTCTAAATAATTTTACGGAATAAACCGTATCATAAAGTTATGCACCCCCCTTCTTGTAATGAAATATATTTGGAAGGCTGTATAGTGTTTATTACGTGTAGAAAAAAAATGAGAGGAGGAAAACAAAAAGGAAGCATTATCAGACTTAATAACAGGCAAACAATAGTGAAACCGGAGGCATATCTCAACGGAATAAACTGTAAATTCAAATTCTAAAAAAAAAAGAAAAGGATTTTTTTTTTGAGGCATTCATATGTCGCACAATTCCAATGCATTTTAAACCGGGCACTTTTGTATTTTACTTTTAAAACATTTGCACCATAGTTTCAGTATTAAAATGCAGTTCTGTCTTTAGTTTACGTTCTGTCTTTAGTTTACGGGTTTAGGTAAAACTAATAGTTCATTAATTTCTTTTATTAACCTGTTAACATTGTTTTGCAGTTATTACGTTTTTAAAATTTTTACTAACATTGCCATTCCATTACTAACAATTGCATGAGTACTGTTCACCGTTTCCCTTTGTTCGCATTCAACAATTGTTTTCTATTCAAGTGAGGTACACTAGTTTTAGATTTTCTTTTCTGTTCATTTGAGGCACGTCAGATTGCGTGAGAATGGGGAAAACCATGCCAAGTCACGTACATGGAAAATCTTGTATGAGTTTCGCGGTGGATTAAACATTTTATGATATTTTATTAATAACAAGTGGAGGTAGACGAACAAATTACTGAAATTGATAAACACGCCCTAAATTCTTTGCATATAAATGTATATACCGTGTACATTGTTTTAACAGAAAATGGACTTGAAAAATTCAATGTAAATATGTTAATCTGTAAATGTGTTAATCTGTAAATATGTTAATTTGTAATTTGTTATCTTCTAATTTTCTGTATTATATATGCCCTTCATACCTGGGAAGGAATTCCATGACCCAAGTCCCCTTCCTGGTACCGAGGTAGTTGGAGAACAAAAAGAAAAACGTGCACAAACAGCACTTTCCCATATGTATACAAATTAAAGTTATTTTCCAATTTTATTATATTCAAATAATATAATGTAATATTTCAAAATTAAGGAAACATTTTCATTGTGTGTTGATTTGACATGTATATATTCAAACTTGTATGTATTTTCTTTATGTGAACATAAATAGATATAAACGTATGTGCAACTTTGTCTTTCTTTCATTTGAGAAGCTGGGGCCCGTTTTACAAAAGAACTTACGACTAAGACCAAAATTTAATTCTGCTTATAACTTTCTTATTTACATTATATTGAAAATGGTTTTAATCTTTTTATAAGGAATGTAGGAAGATATTTTTACAATGGCAATTTTTAACAGAATCATTAAGTTTGCAAAATTTTACAATCAACTAAAGATTTTGGTCTTGGTCGTAAGTTCTTTTGTAAAACGGGCCCCAGAATCATCTACATATTATGTACATATTCTCACAAGTGTGAACATCCATGACATTTTATACGGTATAATGAATATGTATATACTGCTGTTATTCGCACCGGTGCGAATAATTATTCGCACCGGTGCGAATAAGTTTGGCTCAATATTCATTAAGTATCCTTGACAGTGAAATCTTCCCCCAAAAATTTCCAAGCCCCATTTTTATATATGGTCTCCCCCAAAGAAACCCTTTTCCCGGGAAATCTTCCCTTTCCAGAGCGTATTGGCTTGAAATCCGAAACATCGTCTGTATACATATACTCCTGTTATTCGCACCGGTGCGAATAAGTATGGCTCTATATTCATTCATTAAGTATCCTTGACAGTGAAATCTCCCCCGAAAAATTTCCAAGCCCCATTTTTATATATGGTCTCCCCCAAAGAAACCCTTTTCCCGGGAAATCTTCCCTTTCCAGAGCAAATTGGCTTGAAATCCGAAACATCGTCTGTATATATACATGTATACTCCTGTTATTCGCACCGGTGCGAATAACAGGAGTATATAAAGACCCCCTTTTTCAAATTTCCTTTAATAAAATTTCCTTTAATAAAATGTGAAATAAATCTTTTATTTTTTTTTTAAATGTTACAAATAACACAACACTTCATATTTGCAGTTTTATTATATAGGTGTTTGTTAGGTATGCATTTCTGTATTCCTGTAATTAGTTTCACATAACTTATTTTTAACTTTGACCTTCACCTACAAATGGATGGTATTTCAGGTTTCTTTTAGTTTAATTTGCTATATTTCATCCAAGGATTGCTTTGACGTAACGTCAACAACGTCAAATATTATCCACTCCGCGGAGTGAATAACAGGATAATGCCGTTTTGTTCATTTATTATTGTATAAAATGCTTATATGTGTTTCCGAAAGTATGTGTTAAATGATTATTGTAAGGATTTTTGTCTAAGTCATGTTTTGAGTTAATTCTTTGCATCCGAATTTCCTACTCATAGGTCTATTCTAGTCTACAATGTTTCTAGGCAAATATTTGTTTACATTAACTTGTTAATATCTGTTGAAAGTGTATACTTGCAATATTAGGGCTACGTTTATTATTGTTTATTATATATCCATACTTTATAGACGCAAATTAAATGATCAAGTGCCATGTTTACATGTGTAAATTGTGATTGTGATCCATGTTGTACTAAGTATCTGTTTTTTGTATGTTTTAGTTTTTTACCATGCTCATGCATATGGACATCAATGTTGAATAAACGTCCTATTCCTTGATGACTGGTTATCTTACTGAGTTTGAGTCAGTACAGTAAAAAATCCCTGGATTGTGCATCATGGAGTCAGATCTACAGAACTGCACCTATGACCCTGACATTGTTGTGAAACGAGAAGCAACTTCCGTGAGATCCTCTGCTATCTCACAGTCCAGTTCAGTACTACTAGCCCGGAAGCGTGCTCGGACAGAAGCTGCCCGTGTGAAGTTGAAGTTCGCCGAAACAGAAGCTTTGATAAAAAAGCAACAGGCCATTATCGAGGAAACTCGCAAGTTAAACATAGCTAAGGCAGAGCGCCAAAACAGTGAACTAGAAGCTGATTTAAAGTTACTCAGTCGACAAAGTGAAGCAGCCGCAGCCGCTGCAGAAGTGGAGGCCTTGGAGTATGTGGATGTAAGAAACAGTGTTCTTGACATTCCAGTATGTGATAAGAAGAAACTTGTGGAACAGTATGTGGAAAAACATTCGGCACATTCAAGTGTACACGTGAAAGAAGAACAACATTCTAATGTTCAAGATTGTAACGAGATATCATCACTGTGTTCAGATACCCCCATAATTAGTCGACAGTTCGTACCTATATCCACACTTGCACCTACTGTACCTGATCCCTGTGCGGATTTGGATAGTGTTTTACGGGACTCTGTGCCAGCTGGGACGCCATTGAATCCTCAGGCAAAGGCATTTTTTGCCAAGGCTCATACAAGTACTCCTGCTACCAGTGATTTACAGGACAACATTATGGCAAATGAATTTACACGTTTCCTTATGAAGAAGGATTTACTGCTATCTCGCTTTACAGTGTTCAATGATCAGCCTGAATCGTTTCCTGTCTGGAAGTCCTCCTTCGTACATATATCACAGGATCTTGGTGTCAACCATAGAGAAGAATTGGACCTTTTGATGAAATGGCTCTGGCCAGAATCATCGAAGCATACCCATAGCATAAGGATCGCAAATGCAAGTGACCCAGCAGAAGCATTAAGGAAAGTGTGGGAAAGATTAGATGACAGGTATGGTGGGCCAGAACTTATTGAGTGTGCCCTAAAACAAAAACTGACTAACTTTCCTAAAGTGACAAACAAGGACACTGATAAACTGTATGCCCTGTCCGACCTGCTGTCCGAGATTGCGTCCATTAAAGAAAACCCTACCTACTCTTCCTTACTTGCGTATTTTGATTCATCGTCTGGAGTCAACCAAGTTGTAGCTAAGCTACCATACAACTTGCAGACGAAGTGGATGGACAGAGCTTCGAAATATAAGACTTCAAAGAAAGTTTCCTTTCCACCGTTTACGTTCTTTGTGGATTATGTAAAGGAGATGACCAAAATGATGAACGATCCGAGTTTTCAGCAAACTCTGCAGTACACACCAAAGAGGGAAGAAACGTTTCGCATGACTCCACTCAGACAACCTATGAGTTAAGAAAACTGATGTGAGTTCTGAAAGCATATGTCCAATTCACAAGACGTGTCACTCCCTTAACCAATGCAAAACCTTTCGAGCAAAGCCAATTCAAGTTCGCAGAAAATTTCTCAGTGACCACAAGATATGTTATGGATGTTGTAACTCAGATAAACATGTGAAACGTGACTGTCAAGGGAGAACAAAATGTGATGACTGTGGCAGTGAGGATCATCCATCTGCTTTACATGTGACAAGCAAATGTAATAGAGAAAAACAGCAAGAGGAGAATGAATCGTCTCTCCTAGCTTCTCCACAGCACGGCGGGGAGGAAAACAATTCTCGCGGAACTCAACTAGTAGTACGAACCAAGTGTACTGAAATATGTGAGAATTCTTCATTTCCGGGAAAGTCTTGTGCAAAGGTATTGTTGGTAAGGGTGTACTCTTCCAGTTGCCCTGACAAGTCTGTATTGACTTATGCTCTCCTCGACGATCAGAGTAACAGATCTCTAGCTACTACTAACCTTCTTGATCTTCTGGATGTGAACTCAGAAGAGGTGGAATATTCACTTGCGTCATGTGCTGGTTCCTTTGTGTTTTCGGGACGTGTGGCTGAAGACTGTGTTGTTGAATCTCTAGACGGAAGCGTCAAGATGAACCTGCCGCCACTGTTTGATTCAATAACATTCCTGATGTGAGAGAGGAAATACCGACACCGGAAATTGCACGTCATTACACTCATTTGATGGACATTCAGGAATTCATTCCTCCGCTTTCAGAAGCACGTACTCTCTTGCTGATTGGACGCGACCTGCCTGGCGCTCATCATGTTCTTGACCAGAGGGTTGGATCAGGAAACGAGCCATTTGCCCAAAGGCTAAGATTGGGATGGATCATTGTGGGTGAAACCTGCTTAGGAAAAGTTCACAGAAATCGAATATCAGTGAATAAAACATTTGTTCTTGATAATGGACGTCCTACAGTGTTTAGACCATGTGAAAACAGGATTCATGTTTCTGAGAAGTGGGACAGCATAGGTTCGTCAGTATTCTCCAGGAATAAAGACGATAACAAGGTCGGCCTCTCCATTGAAGACAAGCAGTTCATTCGATTGATGGAGAAGAGTTTACACAAGGATACAGATGGAAATTGGGTAGCACCTCTACCGTTTCGTGAAAACCATCCTCCGCTGCCTAATAATAGGCTACAGACACTTAACCGTGCTAAGAATCTCCATGCTAGTCTGTCCAAAGATCCTGTAAAACTCCAGCACATGGTGACATTTATGCAACGCGTATTTGAAAGCAAGCATGCAGAAGTAGCACCGCCATTAACAAGTAATGAAGAGTGTTGGTACCTACCAATATTTGGGGTGTACCACCCCCAGAAACCAGGTCAGATTCGTGCTGTTTTCGACTCGTCTGCACAGTTTCAAGGACTCTCCCTGAATAGCGTCCTCCTATCTGGACCTGACCTTACAAACAATCTGCTTGATGTCCTTCTGAGATTTCGTATGGAACCTGTTGCCATCTCGGGAGACATACAACAAATGTTCCGTAGCTTCCTAGTTGAAGAAACCCATAGGAACTACCTGAGGTTTTTCTGGTATCAAGACAACAATCCAAGTAACAGTCTTATAGAGTACCGCATGAAGGTACATGTATTTGGGAATCGACCTTCCCCAGCTATTGCAAACTATGGACTCCACAAGACAGCGGAAATCAGTCTCGAGAAATATGGAAGTGATGTGAGAGACTTTATTCAGAGAAACTTTTATGTGGATGATGGATTGATATCCCTACCCACATCAACTGAAGCAATTGACTTGATGACGCGTACTATGTCTGCCCTTAAGAATGAAGGAAATCTACGCTTACATAAGATCGCTTCGAATAAAGAAGAGGTAATGAGTGCATTTGCAAATGATGACCTTGCAAAGGACCTTAAGGATCTGGACATTGGCAATGAACAACTTCCTGTACAGCGCAGCCTAGGATTAAACTGGGACTTGATGTCAGATACATTCACATTTAGAGTGACTGGTGCTGAGAAACCTTACACACGTTGAGGCATTCTGTCTGTTATCAGCAGTCTATATGACCCCCTGGGCCTTGTCGCTCCTGTGACTATTCGGGGAAAGATGATATTACGGAAGATTGTAACAGATAATTCTGATTGGGATAGTCCTCTGCCGGAACAGTACCGTTCTGAATGGGAGTCGTGGAAAACGGAACTTCAGTGCCTCCAAGATATTAACATTCGCCGCACGTACATGAACCATGACGCCTCTCTCAGCAAAGCTGTAAGACGAGAAATTCACCTCCACTCTGATGCATCTGAGGATGCAATTGCAGCAGTGGCATATCTGAAGACCATTTCCCAGGAAGGCAAGATACATGTTGGAATCATCCTAGGCAAGGCAAAGGTAGCACCTAAACATGGAAATTCGATTCCACGCCTTGAATTATGTGGAGCTCTTCTGGCTGTAGAAATCTACGACATTGCAGTGAATGCATTAGACATTGCAGTTGATTGTGTTCAGTTTCACATTGACAGTAAGGTGGTATTAGGCTACATAAATAACCGTGTCCGACGATTCTACATGTATGTGAGCAAACGTATTGAACGTATACTTAGGACTACAACGCCTGAACAATGGACATATGTACCCACTCACATGAACCCTGCAGATTGTGCTACCCGCTCGCTTCCTGCAAGTCAGATGCAAAACAGCCCCTGGTTGCAAGGACCTGTTCAACTCTACAAGAAAGGTCAGAACGAGGTCAAGCTGGACAACAGTACATTTTCTCTTGTTGACCCAGAGAATGATAAGGAAATCAAACTAGCTCTGGCTGTTCATGTAGTGAAGTCTTCTATCGAGGACCAGTGCATATTTGGAACCCATAGATTCAACAAGTTCTCATCATGGACTGCTCTTGTAAGAGCATTTGCCTTTCTACGGAACAAAGTGTGTGCCTTCAAACAGAGGAATGTTGGCAATAGTTCCCACTTATGTGTTGACTACAAGGCTGTTGAGACATTTCAGTTAGTTGAACGATGGATTATTGAGAGAGTTCAAAGAGAAACATTTCCTGAGGAGTACTCATGTTTACTTGACAAAAGGACTCTATCTCGTAACCGCTCGTTGCTTACCTTGGATCCGTTCCTCAATCAGCATGGTCTGATTTGTGTTGGTGGACGTCTCAGAGATTCCGACTTAGGTAAACACGAGAAGTTTCCAGTGATTCTTCCACGCAAGCACCACATTAGTACCTTGCTAGTACGACACTACCATGAACAAGTAAAACATCAGGGCCGTTTCTTCACGGAAAGCATGATACGATCCGCTGGCTTCTGGATCGTAGGTGCCAAGCGCTTGATCTCTTCAGTGATTCATGCATGTGTAAAGTGCAAAAGACTCCGTGGGAGGCTAGAAACCCAGAAGATGGCTGATCTTCCAGTGGACCGTGTCAGTCCCGCTCCTCCTTTTAGCTACACAGGAGTTGATGTGTTTGGACCTTGGTCAGTGGTGACAAGACGCACCAGAGGCGGACAGGCTAGCAGTAAGAGATGGGGTGTGATATTTACGTGTCTAAGCATACGGGCCATTCATATGGAAGTAGTAGAGGAATTGTCTTCTTCCTCATTTATAAATGCCCTGAGAAGATTCACAGCTATCAGAGGTCAAGTGAAGGAATTAAGATCCGACCGTGGAAGAAATTTTGTTGGCTGCACTAAAGATCTTCAGATTGAGGCAATCAATGTTGAGGATGCTGAAATGAAGAAGTTTTTGTTCGACAAGGGAACAGTTTGGCGCTTCAACCCACCTCATTCATCCCATATGGGAGGGGTTTGGGAGCGCATGATCAAGACTACCAGAAACATTCTAGATTCCATGTTGTCTGAAGTGAGTGACAAAAATTTGACGCATGAAGTGCTTACTACCTTTATGTGCGAAGTGTGCACCATAATCAATGCGCGACCAATCGTTGCGATCACCTCAGATCCTACGAACCCATTCTTACTTAGTCCATCAACCTTACTTACTCAAAGGACAAGTGCAGATGTACAACCCTTTGTGGACCTGAATCCGAAGGACATGTATAAGGAACAGTGGCGTCGAGTACAATATCTTGCCGAACGTTTCTGGAATCGCTGGAAGCAAGAGTATCTGCAGACCTTACAACCTAGAAGGAAATGGCAGTGTGACAAGACCAACTTGAATCGTGGTGACACTGTTTTGTTGAAAGAACCCGAGAGCCACAGAAACAACTGGCCACTTGGAATGGTGGAAAACGCTATTTGTGGAAAAGATGGTCGTGTTCGAAAAGCGGAAGTTCGCATTACCAAGAATGGCTTCTCAAAGACATATACAAGACCGGTGACTGAACTTGTTCTGCTTTTGAGTGACAAGGGAAATGATCTAGACACTTCCACCAGTGACAAAGAATAATGTGCTTTATCATGTTTAGTGCAACGAAACATACCTTGATATGATTGTGAATTAGAATACCTGTTACATTTGCACTGTATTGATTTTGCGCTAAATGATTGTAATAGTTGTAGTGATATCTTGTAAGATATCAGGCGGGGAGTGTGCTGCCCCAAATTAGAACTTTTCCGGCAATACGGAACTTATATGTCATAGGTTTTATCTTTTACTTTGTCATACGTCTAGAATACGCTGTTTACATGTGCTCGCTCCTTGTGTATCGCACTGTTATTTAATCCAGCACGGAGTAAGTGTTGTTTTGTTCATTTATTATTGTATAAAATGCTTATATGTGTTTCCGAAAGTATGTGTTAAATGATTATTGTCAGGATTTTTGTCTAAGTCATGTTTTGAGTTAATTCTTTGCATCCGAATTTCCTACTCATAGGTCTATTCTAGTCTACAATGTTTCTAGGCAAATATTTGTTTACATTAACTTGTTAATTTCTGTTGAAAGTGTATACTTGCAATATTAGGGCTACGTTTATTATTGTTTATTATATATCCATACTTTATAGACGCAAATTAAATGATCAAGTGCCATGTTTACATGTGTAAATTGTGATTGTGATCCATGTTGTACTAAGTATCTGTTTTTTGTATGTTTTAGTTTTTTACCATGCTCATGCATATGGACATCAATGTTGAATAAACGTCCTATTCCTTGATGACTGGTTATCTTACTGAGTTTGAGTCAGTACAAAGATATTTATGTTCCAGAGAATTATTTTCCCAGCCATTTGTTTTGGGAAGTCATTCACAACTATTCGAGATATCTTGAAGCCAGATAAGCATTCAAACAAACAACATAACCATTGTCAACTATGTGGAAATTGATTAAACTTTAATATCATTAGTACAATGATATGCATAGGATCTCCCATATTTTGTAGTTAGATTTGATTTTTATCAAACGAGTTGTGTGTTTTCTAATCCCGAGACTGGGAGAGTTGTTTAAAAATCATATACCGGTACAACCACAAACCATGGGGGATACTTTTTATCACATATTTTAGACATAGCTATCACATGTTTTAAGTTGTTTTTATACGAATCTGATAAGTTTGATTTAATCACTTTCACACAAAAACCATTAATATTGTGACCTCAAAACTGTTGATATAGAAACGAAATCATGACTTTATCAACTTTATAAAGAAATAAATATGCGATTAGATACATATTATAGGTATACTTTTGAAGGAAAATAATCAGGTATTGTTGTGACGTGTCTGAAATAGTATATACTAAAACATTCTTTACACACCAAATATTTTTAATCACGAAAAAGAGTATGTTTTTAATTTACGGACATATCAATAGATAAACAATAACTAGATAGTAATACATGTACACTATGAAGCTATTGGTTGAAAATTCATTCTATAATTTCTCTGGTTGGTGTACAGTTTAAACGGTAAATATAAACAAATGTACAAAATTACTAAATAAATTATAAAGTATGATACATTGCTTTTAAACGACAATAGACGAAGAGTCTTTAAAAAACAGTACACATAAACAAATGTACAAATTAAATACTAATCATAATTTATTATAAAACGCATATAATTAACAATAAGTACAATGAAATCCTTTTTTTTTTAAATATATATATATCATGTCATTGTCAAAGAATTATAGTAAAAAAAAGTTAAAGGGAACTTTTTTTTTTAAGTATGCATGTACATCATTCAAAAAGAGATTTTTGTCATTTTCCAGGATTGAATGCTTCGACTCTTGTGGTCCTCTCCTTTTTAAAGAAACTATAAAATATTTTGTAAAACAAAATAAATTTTCATTGAGATTTACAAAGATAAAGAAATTTAGAAATAGTACACTGTACAGCTTGGTATGACATCTGAAGTAATACATGTAATTTAAAAAGTAGACTACAAACATCAGCTGGTCGCCCGCGTGGTTAGAGCGTTCGCTCTAGAGTCGCGGCGTAAGGAGTTGATCCTTACGTCGCGGGTTCGAATCCCACTGTGGGACGTGGAGACCGGTCCTTCGGATGAGATCGTATAAACCGAGGTCCCGTGTCGCAGTAGGTGCTGGCACGAAAAAGATCTCTCACTGCTCAATGGCCGTAAGTGCCGAGTATAGGACAAAATTTGCAGCTCTCCGCCGGCAAATGCTGGCGTCTCCATATGAGTGAAAAATTCTCGAAAGGGACGTTAAACAACAAACAAACAAACATCAGCTGAACATCGTGTTTAGATAAAAAGTAACATATGTTATCAAATAATCTTTTCTTCATACTTCTATATTTATTAAAAAGAAAATCTTACCACATCATCACGATGACAATACTTATGACAATCACAATGACTTCCAAAGAAGAGACCACTGGGGTTAGCCAAATAATCTGTCTGACGTCATCACAACAACCTTTATCAGAAGAAGAAACAACAGACTGGGAACCTTCCAATACGTCTTGTAATTCAATAAGAACTGTCAGATCTTGTTTCATAGGAACTACAAAACGTTGCTTTCCTTCGCTTATCTCCTCCCCCTCTGCAAAAATTTCCTCTAAGCGAATTACGTAAGCTTTATCTTTTCCTTCAAAGTCCAAAAGACTTCCATTCTTTATCAATATGCTGTAATCTGTATAAAAAAAGTGCTTTACTATGTGAATAATTTAGTTATTTTTTGTTTATTCGACGAAAACCAACTTTAGGGTCTATTCATATGAGGTAAATAAGAGGATTTCGGACAAATCTTTTAAGATGACTCTTAAAATAGTGTTATAATATTTATTTATTCATGTACGTTCGAAGATTAAAATTATTTTAAAGACATAGCATACACTAAGATCTTAGCAAGGTACCTAATTAGATCCAATATTGGTTTTCATGAAAATTATTAATTTTCTGTAAATAATGTTAAGGTACATTGCACTAAAAAGAGATAACTTTTGCTAAATTTACATATGTTATTCATATTATGAGATATCTAAAACAGACACTTTTTCCCTTTTTGTTTTTAACTTCTAAAGCGAAAGGCATCTGAAAACAATCTATCTACAAATGATGTAAAAACATTTAGAACAACTAGATTGACTGTTGTTTGAAAAAAAACTTTTTCCATCTTTCTTTAATAATTGCTGTATTTATTTTTGCGATTTTAATACCTTAAAAATATCGTGAATTAATGATTTGAAATAATAGAACCATACTCTGCTCATTAAATTCAAATATGTCATAAGCAACTGCTGGAAACATGCTATACAGTTCCAACGGACTGCGACCTTCGCCCCCTTCGTCAAATTCCACTCTGAAAATTTCTGTTCCTGTTTCTGTGTTTTCTGGCAAGGAAACTTTCTTCGGTAAATTTGTTTGTGCTGAAAAAAAGTATGCTCTGTTAAAGCCTACATTGCAGGAGAGAGATACATGTATGACTTCAAATTTATACAACAAAGATTTATCTTTGCTTATAATTATAAAAGGCACTTCCTTTTCTATTTTGCAAGGGAAAAATAAAAATAAAAAAAAGAAAAGAAAAGAAAAACATTCACAAGGAAGTTCATCTTTTAGATGCTTTAATTGAAAAATGCCTAATAATAATCCAAATTTATCTAAACTTTTCCATCGTACTGGCTAAATCAAACGTGATTATTTAGTAATACATGCATTATCTCTTTCTTCATTTACTGAGGTCATAAACAATGCAGGGATCTTTTACAGACTTTTGCTGTAGAATATGTTGTATTTGTTATAAATAAACACTCTTATTCAAACAAATATGCCTTCTTCTCAGCAGATTGAATTATATATCTATTCCTTGGGAATGCTTCAAACTTGATGTTCAGTGTCAGACTGGAATATTTCAACAAAATTTCATTTGATATATTCAGAGCAGAAATCATCAAGTTTTTGCATAGAAGATAATCCTACTGTTTTCTTGTCTTATTGCTATTTTTTAAAATATCTTGTTTTGGTAAAGATTCATATTTAGGGAGATAGACTTTGATATTTACCGAATATCAATAAATGTAGTGTGAAGATAGCGAACAGCGATCAATCTCAAAAATCCAATGGAGTAAAATCCAATGGAATACGATCTAGTATATAATTTGAGGATTTAAGATAGGGCAATATCAATTCAGCGACATTACCCTACCCAAAATTTGAAACCTTTACATCGACAATAACAAAATTTGCTCTCTATTTAACTGATCTTTTTAATTATATCTTTTCCTCTTAGCAGCAAAGTAAATTAAACAAGTATACGGACGAAAAGAAATATACAATTATTGCTGATTTTTTTAGTCAGTAAGATGATTCAGCTACCTTAGGAGTACAATGTTGATTTGGAATTTCTTTGTTTCAGTGTCAGGCAGGTTGCCTCCAAGTAGGGGTAGCGGGCAGTGAAGAAAAATTGACAACTATCACGAAAACTCTCCAAACTCAAAAATCTTATTTAAGGGTTAGGGTCCAAGAGCATAGGAGGGATTTGACTATACTGGATTCAAAACAGATTGTAGGGGTCCAACCAGCCTTTTGTTGCACATTTTCATACTACATCTATACTTATAAATTAATAAATTTTGCAAATAAACTCCGAAACCGATGCACCAGAGTTTTTACTTACTCCTCTAAGAATACACTAGATAAAATATGATGTCCGTAAACTATATTTAGATTTCACTGGCATTGTAAGTATCGTGCATTAAATTAAAAGTCTACTTTTATTTTCTATAAAAAGCCATGAAATAGCAAAAACATGAGTACGGTGGCGTTTCCGGTTGGCGGATCTAAGTTCTTGCAATTTTCAATGAAACTGACAACAATCAATCGTTTACTTATTTCATAAAACGTCATCACTGAATTATTCAATCAAAACTTGATTTAAATGACATAAAAGAAATAAATTGTGATAACCGATTAAAATGGGAAATGTGCAAATTATTTTTGTCATTCACCGATCTTAATATTGACGGAAGCCTCTAGAACATCATATAGCATCGAGCCCGATGTTAAAAAGAAAAACGAGACGGTTATAGCTGCAGGAACATAAAAAAGCTGATGTCATTGTGTGAATGGTCATTGATATAATGGTAAATCATTGATAACACTATAAGTTGTGAATATATTTATATATCTAAAGACTATTACATATAATTATGTAGTAGGTTTTCCTAATAAATTTATTGGTAAAATGTGTAATATATTCCTCACTGTGAGAGCATCGTGGCAACGAACCCGAAGTACAATTTCTACTTCGATCGTAATAAATTTGCTTACATGAAAAGAGAAATTTATGAATAAGATATTGCTCAAATACAATTAAAGCTGTAAAATTTTGTGCTTTAATCGATACGTTTCAGTTTTTTTTTTCTGTATAAAGTCTTTTGTATCAAATACTCGGCCTATTCATAGGGCGTTAAAAGCTAATTTTTACAAAGGTACTTGCGTCTTGGTTTATATATATGTATGTACCTTATTGATATGTAAAAAAGGTAAAGTACATTTTTTACATATCAAAAAGGCACATACATATTTACACACCAAGACCCGAGTACCTGTGAATTTTTACCCCCCCCCCCCCAAAAAAAAAAACACTATCAGTAAAATGTGCTTTATTCGCTGCTTTTATCCTTGACGGAAATGAAATAAGAGTATCTGAAGTACAATATCCATAACATAGTATAACAGGTTTCACAATAAACATCAATCAATGAAATTGATATTTTTTCAAGTTTTTACAAAAGGGGGTGGTTGGGTGGTTGGAGACGCACATGCGGGATTTTGAACAAAGTATTTCTTCCTGCTATAAGCCTGTAGGCTATCAGTAGAAACTACAATATATTTTCTGTCGGTAGTGGTATAAATTCAATTCCCCGCGCTTGCGCGGGATTTCATCTAGTTTATAGTAAAAATTTACGTTCAGAAAATAAAAATAAGGGGGTGGGTGGGTCAGACCACCCACCCCCCTCCCCTCACCCTCCAGTAGTATGTGCCTGAATGTTATGTGAACCTGAGTGTAAGCTGGGTGCAAAGAAATAGGGATTCATATCTAATTTATTAATTCAGATGTTTTCAATCTAATTTTAATCCAATACAGAAAAAAATAAATTCTTAAATTCTCCTGGAAGGTCACGTGCAGGTAAATATCACGTTGTATTTTTCTACAATGTTGCATCTCAGTCAATCAGAAAGCTGGAAATTATTAAATCATGTAATAGAATTAGATATTTCTTTCTTCCATATCCTTTCTTTAACCGACCTCAAAATTTCGTAAGTTCTATCATGCCAAAAGGCTTAAATTTCTAAAATATATTTTAAAAAATTGTTCTCTTGTTTTTGAACGGTTGGAAAAAAGGGGATATGATAACTCTTTACGTTTCATATTTAGAGACAACAAAACCTGATTTAATTAAATTAAATATCATGACTGTATTAGAGTCCAATTAACTAACCTTTCGCTGATGTTGAAAGAAATACTATTCCGGTGGATATTAATACTGCCATTGAGTACTTTAGACACATATTAGTTATCTTATCCCTGCCCTCTCAGAATGTGCGCTTAACGAGGATAGCTGGGCATCAATGTAATGTAAATAGATATGCATGCAAATTTATAGTTTACAATAATATCAATACTAAAAAAACGTTAAAATTATTGTGGGGCTCGTCTATTTTTCATTTAAAACAGATAAAAATTTTAATGATCCCGGATAAATACGCATTTCATGTCACTTATCGATACATTGTATAGAATGAATTAATTAAAAATACAAATAAGGAAAGGCAAAAACTCAAAGAGTCATTTATTTTTTTATTTACCGTTAACTCAAATGTGGATGTTTACATAACGAGAAAAAAAGGTTATCGCCTTTTCAATCTTAGAAAATAGCACTTACACTCCTTTGCCTAGTCGTTTAACAAATATAGGTTAATTTCGTAAATTACGTTTCATAAGTCTCAAGACATATATGTTAAAAATACATTGATGGCAATTGATTCCGTTGTATGACTGTTGGCAGACGACTTACATTGAGAATCCTCGTTGGTTATATATGATGAATAAACATCAATTATGAAACGAGAGTACCAGCATAATGTCGATTGTCCAAAAATCGGGTTATAATACCACTGTAATAACGAGTAACAATACAATTTAGCATCCATGGATAACGTTTCACTTTTAAATGATATAATTGCATGTATCATGACCATTTTGATAATCTCTTATGATACAATGTTCACTAATGATACAGAATGATCATTCATGTATTACAATTCATTCACATAATTTATTCACCAACAATTTATTCACTTACTTGGCCTACATCGTGTAATTAGTGGATTTTAAAACAGTATCCAAGAGGATTTTATTTATGACTGCAAGTCATTCACAAATAAGATTTAAGTTAAGAGGCTCATTGATAAACTCAAGTTTTTGAATAAGTTGAAATAGTAAATAAAAACAAGTTAAAGTATTGGCCACAAAAAGGGCCCTGTTTCTTACATGTATTTTCTTTGCTTTGTTTATTGATATTGTGTATCAGAGCACCTGTAAGTTTGATACTGTTTATCAACTTACATTCTCTTGCAAAATATATCCGCCAGTTTTGTGACCTTTTGTTTCATTTCTCGCCACGAAATCATTTTTATGTAGAATGTTTCCCTGGTTGCAAAATTAAAATAAAAATATATTTTGTTATTTATTGCAAATATTAGAAAGCATTGCTTCTGTGGTTGATAAAAACAATCACGTTGAAAAAATTACATGTATTGCATATATATTTTATACACACTCTATCAGTCAGTTAATCTGTGTTTGACAACAATCACGTACATTCATTCTTCGAATAAGAAATGTAAAAAGATTAGATACAATTGTATCATCAGAAACACGTTGTATTTGTCATTTCTCAGGGATGGAAGTGTCGACTGTTATTCGATTGAACTTTTTGCCGAAACTGAAAAAAAAATCCCTGAACAGTTCAATACAACACTAAGCACTTTTCTTTTTAACATCATTTTCTTAATAGTAATCATTAATAAAATCATTCCTTCATTTCAATAAGGAGGAAATATTTTTTAAAAGAATCACTTCAAAATATTACTTGAAAAGAAAACGTACCAAATTATTATAATGGCACAACATATCAGCATGGCAAGGAGTTCCAAAACAGAGCAAACAGGAGTGAGCCAGATTATTGTTCTGACGTCATCACAACAGTCAGAAGCACATGATACAAATTCTGTTTGAATTCAATACATGAAACTGTTAACATAAGCTTACATTTGTTGTGTATTTTATTTACTTCAGTAATTATAAATTTTCATTTATCTAGAATATCAAATAAAGTAAGACGTTCATACAGTCTTTTTAATTTTTTTCCAAATACACAGAGTTGGTGAAAAAAAAATTATTTACAGCTGACTGCTTGACATAAATTCTCCAAATAAGTATTTCAAACTTACCAACACTATGTGTTAAAAATAAAACCATTTCAATTGCAAATACAAGCACCGAGTTATATCGTGAACACATTGTTGAGTCAAACTGGTTTCTTCTCTTGTATGTGTTTGAGCTTTGATAAGGATACTAGGGTTTCATTTATATATATGTAGAAAAGATATAATTTATTGTTATTACTGTAATTACAATATGCTTGATTGGAGCACTAAAAGTGCAAATTCAGTTTGTAAAGTCCATGCATCTTTCACTCTAAATGTTCTTTTGTGTAAATTAAAGTACATACTATTTGATGTCTGAGTATTAAAGATAGTTATTGGAATCACTGAAAACTTGCAAGTCATGATTAATTGTTTTCTAATCTGCAATAAATATTTATGCAAATTGTCCATTTCAGGATATGCACGTTTAATAGATATATACGCTTTAAATGCACTTTATAAGAACGGAACATTTAAAAATGAAGCATTCCCCTAAATACTTAAGGTATTCATAGAAATCTTTGACAATATAATTATAATTTTTTTGAGCCCCTTGAGACTCATATGAGACTTCACCATATACCGATGAACAGCTTCATATTTACACCTTTACTCGGCATTCAGAGCCATTGAACGGTGAGAGTTTTGTTTTTTCGTGCCAACATCGACCGTGACAAGGGACCTCGGTTTTGAAGGTCTCATCCAAAAGACCCGTTGCTCTTACAACTATTGCCGGGCGCTTGTCAAAGGAACAGTCACTACCTATGTTTGCGTCTTAGGTTTGATGCGGCACCGGGAACGAGAATCGAACACGGTAGTTCCCGATCACGAAGCGAGCGCCCTACCACTGATTCCTTTCAATGATTAATTGAGAAAAAGATGCAAGCTGAAGGGATTTATAATCATAAGGTACATTTTATTTCTCATGTTTGGGAAGGTCTATAGAACTTTAATGGATCACAGATTACGAAGTTATGGCTCAGTAATTGAGAGTTCACATAGGTATTCGAAACTTTCTCTTTATTTATTAAATCGTATTTATGCAACAAATAGATGATTTTAATGTTTCACTAATCAAGCACAACATTGCCAGAATTATGTTATTAACAATACACCCCTGCCGAGATTTTCACTAACTGATGTCATTGTTTGTTTGCTTTTCGCCTTGGTCTTAGTAAATGAATTATAGCTAGTCAATATACTCAAAATATTTTCAATTTCTTACACAAAGACACTTACCTATTTCAGTGTGTCACAATGCAATGTTTGAATTGGGCATGCTATAAACGACTATTAAAGACAAATTATATACCTCTATGCAGCATTGACTGGCACACTTGGCAAGAATTATTGCGAAGTGAGAGAAGACAAAATAAAAATTAAAACAATAATAAGAAGTATTTTAATTTAAATGTCCAACTTTACTTAAATTATGATGCATAATTTAAATTTCATGCACAATCATTACCCCCCAAAGAACATATCGTCATGTACCCTGTGGTCAAATATTTAAGAAAAAATACAAGAGACGGATATAATTTCAAGCTCAAATTAGCAAACAGAAAATATATGTATGTAAGAATCAGTCAGGACAACCTGTAGAAATCCCGTGTATCAATATGCATGTTAGAATCACTTGTGTGAAACTTTATCTTCTCTCGATAATTTGAAATTGTTGTTTTCCATGTTTTATAAGACTAAATTCATATTTTTTCCAGGAAACTGCAAATGTCTTATTGAAATTTTGAAGTGTACCGCAAAGCAGAGCATTTCCTTACAAAAGAGGACAAATTATAACTTGCGTAACTTCCGTTTTTTTTAATGATATTTTCTCAATAAATAACAAAATTGTGTCACAAATTCATGCATGTAATTTAGTCACATATACATTTTAAGCTCCATGATGATAATATTTGTTCGGTAGAGATATCCCTAGAACTTCAGTCTTAAAGAACGAGGGAGAGGGCTAAAATAGCTTTTTCCTTCTGCCTAATCCCATTCACTTTTTTGTGAATAAAATTTTGTATAAATGAAAATAAGAACGAGGGTGTCCAATGCATGGTGAACTCATCCTGTTTGATCTCAATTCCACCCATTAGATTAATTAAGATACATGTAACTAACTACTCAGATAATAAATGCAAATGTCAATTATGTTTTGTGAATAACACTTCTATACCTGTAAATGTGTCTGGATTATTATTTCTTGCTTTTATTTCTTCAATAAAGATAGATGACTAGAATATTAGTCATTTAAAAACTAGATCAATTATTCAAAGATTAAACATAAAATGTTTAATTGAAATGTGTTTCAAACCAGAAGTATATCAGAAATTTTTGGCATGCATGAAAGACTTACATTTATTTTAACTTTTATGTTAGGTGCATTTATCCTTGTAATATTCTTAAGTTAATGATATTTATTGAATATAAAAGTGGATTATATCTATTGCATCAAAATTGATTATGAAAAAGGGCAACGAGTTTAATGAGCCATACATGAATGATTTTTTTTATATACGTATATTTCTAAATATTTTAAAATGGGTACCACATGTAGTCATTTGCGTTAAATATTGATATATCTCGGTTCAGCATGGTGCTGTCCTAAATAGAAACTTGACAGTACGTGATACTATTTTTTTTAGTAATTATGAAGAATAACTTTTATTTACATTCCTTTTTGTGTTGTTAATGATGACATTGTTTATTCGCTTGTTTTGTTTTGTTTCTTGTTTTCGCTGTTGCAATCTACAATTTTCGTCCATTATATGCCCACACTGCATTCTTAAAACTATCTCATTAGAATTATTGAGTTTACCTACATGTACATGTTCATTTTTATTACATTTGTAACATTCTGTTATAAACCACATGTAATAAAATCATATGATACGAGGGTCGCTCAATAAATAATGCAAAAGGTCGTCTAAAAGTAAGAAAAGTACGTAATACATATTCGTTATAGTTCCAGTCCGTCAAAGCATTCCCTATTACCCTTTACACATGTCTCAAGTCTTTGTACCCATGACCAGAAAACCTCAGCATACTTAATTTTAGGGATGCCCCAAAGACACTGAAGAATATCACTCCCCATGACATATCTGATATTGTACAATCTTCATTTTATGTTTTCATGCGTTTTTTGGAATAAAAAAATTTTACAGTGGCTGAGACCTAGCGAATATTGGGGATAGCAAAGTTCTGTAAACTTTCTTTTCTTCAAATTTTCATTATTTCTCTATGCTTTTTTGCAGCAACGTTGTCAGATACAGAAAAAATATCTGCGAGACTGGTATTTGGACTTTCTTCGCAGGAAATCTGTTTAACTTTCCTTAGTGCAAGTTGAAAATAAAAGTTACCATTGATGGTCCTTTATTTGGATATATGTATATGGTTTACTGGACCTCTTGAAAAAAAAAAAGAAAGCGAACAAAACATGTTTTGAGCCCTTGCTTCTTTTTACCATAATAAGACGACAGCTTTTTCTTTGATTCCACATTTTATTATTGATCTTCCTTTTTGGCTATAAAAAGTTCACCCATGTTTTGTCATCCATCACGCAAGCTTATCAAATCTTTTATTATGTTAAAATATTTGTTTTACAATAGACCGTTGGCGTATTTAACGCGTGCTTTCTCTTAGGCATTTGTAAAAAGAAAAACAAATAGGGCACATGTCTCATAGAAATATTATTATATTCATTTCCTTGGTCAGAATTATATAAAATGTTGTGATGATGAAATGTATTTCAGTGTAAATCTGGCATTTTCAGATATCATGTTGCGCACAGCATCGATATTTTTTTGTGTCCCTACAGATTTCAATCGACCAGTTTAATTGTTATATTCTAACTCTTTTTTTACTTTTGAATTTCTGAATCCATCTGAAAACTACACAGCGTTAAAGACATATCAGAACCATATCTTTAATACGGGTTCCTCGGCGATTTTTGTAAAAAGCACAGTTTTCACATACGCTCTCATTTTCATCTTCTTGGCAGAGATTATTTTTAAACAGTTTTCAGCTCAGTGTAGTAACCATGCTTACTTTAAAAGTGAATTTCTTTTTGAGTACAATAGGAAAATTCATGGGGTTTTCTTGCTTAGAAGCTCTTTTATAGAACTTTAATTTTCAACTGTGAAAAAATAAAATTTGAATACTTCTACATTTGTTATGATATACTGTATGTTGCATTATTTATTGAACGACTCTCGTAATAGATTTTGAAAGTTTTGCAGAGTTATCAAAATACAGTTTACTTTACGTCCATGCCATTCTATATACTCTGTTAACTTTTTACATTTCAATTAGAAGTGACATCAGAGAACAATCCACAAAGTCCTTATAATTGTTACTACTCGTTTTAATGTTACAATAGTTTTAATACAGTAAAGGTTACAACATAATGAATTATGCTTACGTTTATTATTTCAAAACCACATTAAGAATTAGAAGGTGTATAGACAGCAACATTTCACTTCTGATACTTCTGATGTACAATCCTTAAAAACGAGCATAAAAATTCTGGTTATCTTCCTTTGTCCTTGATGTAGGTTCTACATACTGTGTAGGTTAGATACCGTAAAAAATTTAAATCCCAGGTTCATCTCCACATTACGTTAAATATCCCTGAATATTGTGGAGATTTTAGCTTAGTTTTCTTTTTTCTTCTTTTAAATTTCCAGATTTTACAAAGAAGTTATCTGAATTTGACGAAATGACAATAACTTTCAACTATATGATTTTTTGAAAATTGGAACAAAAAGGTATCAAATCCAATCAGAATGCTTTACTACTGAAAATTCGTGAAAAGCGTTCAAACTGTTTACGAAAAATCGTCAACACAAAAAGTCTTTAAGCTATTTAAGGTCAGACGACACGTTACTCAATTATATGTTTTGTATACCTTGGTATTATATAAAAAATTATTCATAATTGTCATTCTCTTGTGATTTCTTAATTGTTTTCAATATGTTTTAAAAAATAAGTACACCAGAAATTGTAACATTGGCAATTCAAAAGATTACCTATATGGATTATATAGGAAATATCACCCTCTGGTATCTTGCCCAAATGCCTGGTAAGTTACCTCAATTTTTGGTGAGGAA